CACGAGGGCTATTTGCGCTAGCCGTCCCTAATTTAGCAGCGTAAGACTAGAGAGAAGGCAGCTAGCCATTACCACCCTCCGTCAACTCTTGGACTACTCTTTTACCAACGAATAGTGGGATTGACTGTCACATTATAACGCCTACACGGCTGAAAGGGCGAGCATGTTTGGTGGACGGGGATTCGAACCCACGATCCTCAGATTGCGAGTCGAGCGCCCCTAACCACCTGGCCACTATCTAACAGTGAGGATATAATTTTTCGTTGATACTTAAATCAACTACCAGACGAATACAGAAGAGTCTCATATAATACGAATAGTATTATTTTAACTTAAAACTCTTGGTGGACAGCTGAAATTATTTTCATTGTACATTTATATATCAAATATTTTTTCTAACATTACTGTCCATTATTGGTATACGTAGTCGCTATGTTTGTGCCATTAATCTAACGTTGTTGATCTAACCTGTAGAAATACACTGTAGAAAAAGACGTGGAAAGTTGTTGCAAGAGATACTGTAAAAAGTAAAACACAACAACAACAAAAAAAAAACACATATGCTCGAAACGCAGCTAATAAAAGAAAATTTATAGGATAGACTTGTTTCTTACTTAGTTGTTAAAATTGACGTAAAATCTATTTTAAAAACTAAGCCTGACGAAGGATATATCGCAAAAACATTGTTAATAAAATATTTTTTATTGTAGACGTGTTGTTTTTTTTTGCTTAACTGTTAAAATTGGTATAAAATCTATCTTAAGAGCTAAGCCTAGACGAAGGACATATGGCCAAAGACGTTGTTAATAATTGTTTTATTATAGACGTGTTTTTTTTACTTAGTTGTTAAAATTGGCATAAAATATATTTTAAGAACTAAGCTTGATGAAGGACATATGCCTGAAACGAAAATCGAAAAAATAACAAATCTACAGTTCAAATTCGATAACGAGGAACCCACTTTGAGACTAATAATGCTTGGAGACGGCTTGAATGGGTAATGAAGAAAAACTTTAATATACGTTTAACATAACAGCAAATGTTTCGACAAGGTTTTGTCATCATCATTTTGTGGGACACGATCATTCACTTAGGCTAGACCACTTTTGGGGTGTACCAGAAAGTTTATTGATGCTGGGTTTAGCAAAATTTTTGCTTTTTTAAAACAGCAGGATCGCTTTCATAGTCTGTTATTTTGGTAATTTTGTGTAATTATAATATGCTCACAACTATTAGAATGTTGAAATACTCCCCAGAAGCACAGCTGATAGAACAACACAGGTATATGGATCCCTGAACATTCACAAAGATCGATACTCTTTATGTCTTATTGTATGATAGATTTAAATATAACCTTTTCAAGATTTTACTTTATAGTTTCTCTTCTAAGACCTTCAGTTTTAAACAAACATTCGTTCGGAAACTCAGCAATGCATGCCTTTCGAAAATTGTGACGTACTTTTCCCCTGTCACATCCTATCTAAATTACACGAATTCATGGTCACCCTAACTAATTTTCAATACTTAGAAACATATTTATCAGATTGAAGGTATTATTATGGGTAGTCTTATCGCACCTTGCTTGGTTAACATTTTTATGACCAAATTGGATCAAAGAGCGCTTACAACATCACTTCATGCACCTGCTTTCTGGATATTTTATGTTTAACAAAGAGACGTTGCTTTTTTTTTTGTCTACTTTATATTGGGTTTTAACCACGGTTTGGACATTATGAAGAATTATTCCAAGTGTTATTTCGTGTTATGGGATGAGACCCAAAGGATCAGTATATAAATGTGTGTATGTGTTCTGTAAATTTCTGCAAAGTATAAATATTTATCATCGAAAACTAAAACATTTAGGAAGTGGAGAAAGTTAGTTTTCAACTTCTTTAGTGTAATTACTGGAAGGTAATAGATCATTGCAGAAGCCATAAGAATGTCGTACAAAGTTTCGAACAGAAAAACCAACTAAAATGTAATAACAGTTGAATCTTCCATTTGTAGAACTGGCACACAAATACATATATTATTTGTTTCAAACCTTATTAATAGTATTTATAGTTGCATTGCACTTATAAAGTATTCTCTGGTGTTTTAATACATATTCTTGAACTATTTAAAGCTTTGAAAGCCAATCGATCTTTAGAGCCATCTGGTGTCAGCCACAAATGTCATCTGCACATCCGTTTTACAGATGGAACTTCATGACGTTTAGATTTGTCATCAACAATTTGGAAAATGTAGTTTCCACTACAAATTTAATCATTTTGTTACCCTAAATGGATATTCCAAAAATCCGGATTTTTTGGGATTTGTTCAGTCAGTTCAAGAAGTATTATTGTAAAATATACACTTGGTACACTCTACTGGATTAATTAAAGTACTATTTACCAAACCGTATAGTATTTGCATGTTACTAAGGTATGACTTACGTTTAAAGGTGCCCAAAGCTACACATGGGCCGGTGTAGTCTACCGTAGAACGATCAGCCAAGGCTGCACATTCACTCGGGTATGTATGTCCACTGTGCCCACAAACTGTACCCCAACCACTGCAACGGTCCTGTAACGTCAAATAAATGCTTAGAGATGAACGAGAGATTTCTACACACATAGACCTAATACTTTCGTACAAATACTTCATTAAATAGATTCTAAAGAATTTTTAAAATACTTATATAAATATATTTCATAAACCAGCAGATAAAGCAACCAATAACTTTGTATTTATTTACAAAAAAAAATTACATTCCATTACGCTTTGTAAGAAACTAGGTTACAACATTCAATCATTGCAAGATTCAGGTAATTCTGTTTATAGTTATATTACAACAAACGTGAACCATATTATCGAGAAATAATAAAATTTTAACAGAAATTACAGTTGATAAATATATATCTATATATATAAAGCCACCACAAAAACTAACTAAATTGAATAGGTAGTTTTATGTTCTTCAAAGAATATTTGAATAAATATTGTATCCTTATAAAAAAAAAGACAGGTGTTAATCGATGCATAATTATCTAAAATACGGAATGCAAATAAAAGTTAAAATATTTCATAGCTAAATCTATTGAAATATTTGATTTTAGCAATCTTTATACCAGCTTACCCTTACACAAAATCAGTGAAAAGCTTTTAAGTCTGCAATTAAAATGTCTTTTAACAATGCAAGTAAATAAATGATTTACATAGAGGATACTAAATGCTTCCTTTATAACATTCATCATAAAAACTATTATTGTTTTACACTGAATGAACTCTTGAATGACTCGGATTTCAACTTTAGTTTTTTTTATTTGCAAAGTATTTCACACAAACAAGACTTAACCCGCGTGTAATTTCCTTAGAAAATGAACATTACACTACATACAATTTCTATGGGCTTTCTCGACTTATTTAGGTCTAAAATATGCATGCGAAGTTAATTCAAAACCACATGTTTATCACTTTGTGAACACTCATTCAGACGTTTCTGTATATTCAGCTAAGTTTGTCTTCATTACAAATTTACAGTTACTTTACTTTGCAATAATTTAGCTTCACTTTGTTTTATAGACTGCTATAAAACCTTTTAGCTACTTTTTTCTTTACTACGGGTTATATTCTTCGTTTTTTGCGAGTTTCTTTGTTTCAACTCGTAAAACTGCATCACACAGTATTTCCATAACTGTTTCATACTCTGTACACTATATGAGTACCATTACTTTATTGTTTACTTTACGTGTAGTTTTATTAAATAAACTTACATCTACTTAAGTTTGTTTGTCTGATTGTGTACAGCTTTTTCAAACAGGCCGACATTTATATATCTAACACATAGTGTCTGCAAGAATGCTTAGCTTAAATGTCGTGTGTGAAAACGATAGAATAAGGAAAATTCAAGTGAAGGGCATGAAAACTTCTGTAAATGTTTTGTGGGTCACAGCTAATAGAGAAATATTGAGTTAATAAAAATACATTCTGGAAATATAGGTTATTATTTTATTTGTAAACACTCTAACAAAAAACCTAAGCATTTAATCTTTCACACGCGATTTTACTCAACTCCATCAACAGTTATGCTGAGTCAATCTTTTACTTCTGTACAGATCATATAATTAACATATAGATAACTTTCTTTATCCTTATACATAAACTTACTCTCTTTATAAGCCCCCCCCCCTCAAAGTACTTAGCATGGGCATGACCACCTTCAAACTCTGTAGTGGAGTGAGACGGGTAGAACTAGACAGATACATTAGTACTCAAATATTCAAACAGGTTGTACTGTTTATTGTTGTTTTTTAGAGCAAAGCCACATTTAGCTATCTGCTGTGTCCACCGCAGGAAATCTAACTCCGAATTTTAGCGTTGTAAGTTCGTAAATATACCGCTGTCCCACCTAGGGACCAGGCTATTCTATTGTTTTGTGGACATCTAGCTGTAACTTGCTAAATACTAAATAAAACGTAAGTTTGTTTGTGTTTCTGTTGTTTATAGTAACTTAGAGTATCAAATTTAAGTAATTAAATATGATTTTTAGTTATTAATAGTGTTAGCTAATTATATATGACACTAAATTTCCTAAATTACTTAGTAATTCGCCAAGCAGGGCCAATCTCTATAGGTGTTCTTGGGTTAATGGCCGAAGACATTGATGGCACTGAAGATATCTAATTTTTGACTCAGATATTGATCACTGAATTTTTTTTGTTGTTTGTCTGTTATTCATAATTTAGGCTATTTATTACTAATTGTAATTATTATTGTAAAGTTTCAGCAGCTTTCCTGGTAGAATTTATTGTACAATAAAACAATAATAAGTAAAAAATTTCACCATTAATCATACAAGTGTCGATTTTGTGGAATGTGTCAACAACGATTCATGTATTAATTTTGTATTCAATATTGACTGCTAAATAATAATTTAAACAAAATTTGATTTACAACGAAAGAATATTTGTTACCTTAGCTTGTAACATTATATATATATATAAACAAATACACGTGACGAGTTTAGGAACCACATCCACTTCAAGTATTTAGATAGTTCATAATCTGCGGGTCGCGGGTTCGATTCCCCGTCCCACCAAACATGCTCGCCCTTTCAGCCATGGGAGCGTTATAATGTTACAGTTAACCCCACTATTCGTTGGTAAAAGAGTAGCCCAAGAGTTGGCTTTCACTGCTAAATTAGTGACGGCCAGCGCAGATAGCCCTCATGTAGTTTTGCGCGAAATTAAAAAACAAACAATCTATTTATAATGTGTTACTGGTTTCAGGAAAGCAGACAATAATTCGTTAAATGTACTGAGCTTGGGTACAATAATTCGTTGAATATCCTGAGCTAGGACACAATAATCCGTTAAACGTTCTGAGCTAGGGTGCAATAATTCATTGAATGTCCTGGGCTAGGATACAATAATCCGTTAAATGTTCTGGGCTCTGATAAAATAATTTGTTAAATATTCTTGGCTAGGGTACAATAATACGTTAAATGTTCTAGGCTAGGGTACAATACTACGTTAAATGTTCTAGGCTAGGGTACAATAATCCGTTAAATGTTCTAGGCTAGGGTACAATAATATGCTGAATGTTCTGAGATAGGGTAAGTAATATGGTTAACCTACTCAAGTACAGTGTAGTGTTTCAGATATATAATAAAACTAACATGACTAAAGTCGGTTTTTACATTTTTAGTACTTGAAAATACCGAGATAGTTGATTTTCATAAACTTGAAAACATGAAATTTTAACTAATTGGATGTTTGACATGATTCACAAGTTATAACTCATCCCATTACAAATAGTTTTTTTATTATTATAATGGCAAGGCTATGATAAAATAATTCGTTAAATGTTCTGGGCTAGGGTACAATAATTCGTTGAATGTCCTGGGCTAGGATACAATAATCCGTTAAATGATCTGGGCTATGATAAAATAATTCGTTAAATATTCTGGGCTAGGATACAATAATACGTTAAATGTTCTGGGCTAAGGTACAATACTACGTTAAATGTTATGGGCTAAGGTAATTGATCTCCCATAATGTCAATACAGAAAAAGAAAATTCAACATTTCTTAGATATAGCTAAAAGCTAGCATTTTAGTTAAAGTAATTGAAACTGTATGTCTGAAATATTTATACTAAACAGGTTATAAAATAACAAGTTCAACTCCACAATGCCGATTACTTTGATAAGAAACCTTTTAACCACAACATTAGGTTTCTTTTTATTGTATCATAAAGAATAGACTGTTTACTTTCAATCTAGCCTTTTTTAATTTCAAGTACAAAAATAATAATTTTGTAGACTTCTCTGACAGACAAACTGACGAAACTAGTTTCATTTGGCTGTAACAAATGACAGTTTATATTCTTGTCGAGACTGTAACCGAAAAAAATTTTCTGGTAAGCTAAAAAAAAGCACACAACAGAATATGTCAAACAGCTATTCGAGATCTAAAGCACCAGTGATCTTGTTCTTGTTTAGATCATTTTTCGTGTTTATAGCATATTGACAAACAATCTTCCAGCGTCTCCTACTTAGAGTTCCAATTTCAATCATCTTAGATATGTTTTGTATTATTTGTTTGTTATTTGACTTTTAACAGATAATTGTTTCCGGGAAAGTTCAGATTTTCGATTTTTTTTAAGCAAAGTAGGTGAGATAGGTGTTTTCGTCCTTCGGTAAAGAAGAAAAATGTTTGTTCATTTTTCAGAATAAATCACAGCATATTGTAGCAATTATCGAATCGGTATCAATAAATCTAAAGCATTTGGAATATAATAAACGTTCTGGTTTTCCAGAGAAAATCCTTGATTCTTTCCAACTGCAAACCGAATCAATCACTCAGGCAAATGTTCCTTGAAGCACTCAATCAGGAAATATCGTGTAAAAATAAATTGATTAGGTCTTTGGGTTTTTGTCAAAATAGTATATATTTTTCTTAGTTTCATACTAAAAGGTTGATATTGATCATAAATTATTCTTAGATGATCTGACACTGAAGCAGAGACTCGCGAATACTTTAGTTCTGAAGATTAGAAAAACTAAATTTACAATGAAAGAAAAACAATAGCACAATAAATTATTAAACATAGGTAAATTGCAATACAATAAATACATCTAATCAATAAAAATAGTTCATACATTTTTCCTTTGTTATTTATAAATAAATAACAAAATATCATTTCAACACTCCTATGAAGTGGTCAGTGCAGAAGATATGACATGTCAAGTCGGACAAAACCTAACTTACCTCGAGTGAAATCTTTAAAGCTGCTCTCAGTCAAAGATAAATATAAATTAAACGTGCGCATATACAGACACGCATATATATATCTATACATACAGCTAGAAAATTTCAAGTTTAACTCCACTGTTTTGTGGGATTATTGTTCTATCATTGTCTCTTACAGAAATATTCACTGTTTATTTCGTCTTTGGGAAAAATATAAGCTCCAATTTCCTAGGAAATCACTAATACCCGATACCCGTGTTCGCTGGTTAACTGTCAGGATAACAGTCATCTGTGTAGTATCAAAGAAAAAAGCAGGATGACTAGTGTGAGTCCTGGAGCATAGACAAAGCTAATTGCTGGAGAGCAAGCCGAAACACTTCCCGATAGAGGGCCTTCTAAAGATGCAGCAAGAAAAAGAGATAGGGAGAGATCCGTCAAAATGGCGGGGCTGGTCATTTCTACCAAAGTCTTAATTTTTTCAGCTTCTTTCACACACGTTTCAACCTGTAGAAAAGTGGGTGTCGCTGTGATAGGGGTTACTGTGACAATTACTTCTGACTCTAGGCTGAGATATGAGAAGACGTCACACTCTGCTACTTTCACATAATATCGAAGTTTCTCTGCAATGGTCTGAACAACAACGGGTTTAACGTCTTGTACAGCTCTGACTACAATGTCTGCCTGATGTCGGCTAAAGAGGAACGCCACAACTGCTCCTGGTGGAAAGATGACGAAGTACATTAACGTATATAAATCGCATTCAACAAAGACAACAGAGTAAATCTTTCAGTAAAGGTAAAGTCATTCTTATGATTATAAAATTACATGGCGTCTGTATATGTCAGAAAAATTCTCTACATAATCACATACTTAAACATACTTTTGAGACACCTTTACCCATTATAAGTTCGCGTTTGTATCAATATTGTTTCTGTACAGTTGTCAATAGTAACACCCACACAGCTGTCATCAGTAACACGTAAGGTTGTGGTCAGTAAATCCAGAGAATTATCAGTAGTGACACTATTATCATCAGTAATGCATAGTTTCCATTAGTAACACACCCACAGCTTTCATCAATAATAATAATACCTAATATTGTCCTTGGTAAATCAAGGAGTTATCATTAATGACATTATTACATCACTAATGTCTAGTTATCATTAGTAACCCATACACACACGACTGTCGTTAGAACCACCTATAGTTGTGATCAATAATACCCAAAGTAGTCTTTGGTAACTCAGAGTTATCATTAATGATATTATTACTATCATAAGTAATGCAATTTTGTTATTCGTAACACATACTTAGTTGTAATTATCAATATCCAGATCAAGGTATAGTAAAACAATGAGTTGGTATTGGTACCACTAATCGTTTCATAATTTCCATTATTATAATAAAAAATTATAAAGAGTGAAGGATATTTGTCATATGTGCCACTCAGAAATGTGCAGGGAGACAATAAGTTGTCACCGACAACACAGATATCATAAAAATATATGATTGTCATCAACAAATCAGAATTGGAATTTGTCACAATAATACATTATCATCAATAACATCCACAATTATCAGCGTCAGAAGACCCAGAACTGAAACTATTGATATCCAGATGTCAACAGCAGCATCTACAGTAACCATTAGTAGCAACTAAATTTGTTGCCAATAGCACTCAGAATTGCCATCAGTAACACCTAGGTTTGTTACCAACAGCAACCAGAGTTGCCATTAATACCATCTATATTTGTCATCAGTAACACTTAGGGTTGTTACCAACAGAGATTGTATCAAGAACATTCACAGAGTAAACATTAGTATGATTATTTAAGTATAAAAGTTTCCTGTAACTCATAGGTAAATCAAAATTAACTACCTTAATCAAAAGCTTGTTTTTTTTTCTACAATTCTAATTTCGAAAACAAATGATAAAACTAAACCTAAAAGTAACAGTAAATAACTTATGTTATTCTATAACGATTGGCAACATATCAAATTAAGATATGTAATCTGTGTGACGTTATATTGCAAATACTACTTACCACACACAGGACAACAAGCTCCCGGTGGAATAACATTAGAGCAATGGGGTGAGGGCAATGGAGGGCAACGTATACCACTACATCCAAATCCTTTAGTAGTTTCGTTCCCTGTAACATAAGTAGTTAACTTGCTGGTAAGCAAATATGGAACAGCATCATCTCAATATGTACAGCTTGCCAAAAACAACAAAAGTTATACAATTCCATTATTGTTGATGTCTTTAAGAAATATTTATTTAAAACACAATCGATTTTTTGTTAGACGTTCAATCTTAATAGAACTTCTCCAGTTAATTTATACATAAGAGGGAATAAAAACAAACAAAACAATAGTCCATTAAATGTTCCGGAATAGAGTACAATAACCCGTTGAATGTCCTGGGCTAAGATAGAATAATGCGTTCAATGTTCTGAGCTAGGATAGAATAATCCGTTAAATGTTCTATGGGACATTATGGGAGATCAATTGAAATGCTTTTAAACTTACCACTGTATATTCAAATCAAAGACGTCAAATAGTCGAAATGATTTTTCTTATCTACTGAATTACTGAATAGTAAAAAAAAAATGTGCTTTACAAAGATTTTGAGATATTAGATTCATACATTGTTACGTTAGGCTTGTATGCGGAGAAAAGTTTCTAAAATCATTATTTTAACACAAAGCCAAATTTTTGAGGAAAACAAAAAATAAACCAGAAGCCTACTTTCATATTCTTCTCTTTGTTTCTCGTTATTCAAAAACGCTAAAAACCGGGTTTCGATACCCGTGGTGGGCACAGCATAGATAACTCGCTGTGTATCTTTATACTTAACTCCAAACAAAGAAAAAACCAAAATTCAAATTGACCGAATTCCTTCCAGATTTTTCTCAGGACGTAAAACCTGGCTGATAAAGAATATTACAGAACCAGGCATGATATTTTATTAGCAATAGTATCTTTTTAGCAAGATCTACAAATATTGTGGATGAGTCTCAGCTTAGGATGAAAGTTTAGACGATATAAAAATAGCTAAAGATGCAACTGTTTGGGGTTATTAAGAGGTGCCTTTCAAAAAAATTCTTGTAAATATATATTATAAAAAGTGTACTTAAATATAAACAGTCCTGTATGATGTTTGTAAAGAATATAACGTAGTTGTTTTAAAAAAATAGATTGGAAAAAACATATTTTATGGATGATATGTGCATTTGTAGATATTTCTATATTGTTGAATAATTTAACTTGCATAATTTTCAAACATGTGAAAAGAATAGTTAATTTTTTTTTTTTTTTT